CCCCCTTTTCTAGCGAACCCCCCTGTATTCTAGCGAACCCCCTCGAATTTTTGAATGAGTCCCACTCGGAAAGAATGTCTGTTTTTAACTTACCCAGCATTAAATCAAAATTTAGCACCTAAATTAATTGGTCACCCGTTTTTAAATTGTAGCCTGCGATACAAGCCTACATTCATAGAATATCTCAGCTTCAGAAGTTTGGAGATTTAAATTGAACTCCGACAAACCATGACCTGTCTCTTATACACATCTAGATGTGTATAAGAGACAGAGCTAAGACTTTGCAAATCATGCCTATACAGTGGTCCACTTGGTCATCCGTCATGCATAATCTTAGGCTTATTTTTTTTTTTTATGTCTAACATAAGAAAATACATACAAAACAAAATATAGAAGCTGCATAACATAAATAAATCACCTTCTTTTATGTTTACTTCGAAATATTTGTTGAGTTCACAATAAAATAAAACAGAGTGGATGTTGATACTACTGTACCGGTAACAGACTGAATGCTCTAATATTAACGTGGTTATAATAATACTTGCTTAATTCTGCAACTAATGTAAAGTACTCATATCAACTTTTCTTGGCGGTTTGGTTTTCGAACGAGGTAACGAATGCTCTCTATTCATTATATCAAACTGCTATTTGTGGTGGCCGCTTGCTCAGTGATCACTGTACATATGCAAAGCTAAAAAGCTATTTTTCATATAGAAAAATAAGAGAAGTTTCACACTAGCGCGATTCGATAACGATTTATCGTGTATACGATACAAATATACTTTCACAAATCAAATCAAATGACGTCATAATCTTGGCCAAATGATAAATCGTAGTAGTAAAAACGATATTATCGTTTTTCCATGATTATGACTTCATTTGATTTGATTTGTGAAAATATTGTTTAATTGCTTTCCCAGCTGGTGTTACATTTTTGGCAAAAATGATGTTGATGTTACTTTTGGGCGACACCAACATTACAGGTTTTGTGGTACTGGCATGTCTGTTGTGGAATGTTAATAACCATGTGCATTAAAAACCATTAAATGCCACATTTAATACTCAATTTGTAATTTTTTTTCAAAGATTCATCAAGTTTTGGACATTCGCTTATTATATCAATGGTGAAAATGAAAAAAAAAATCAGTTGATGGTCCACACTGCATTCGATCATCACGATCATGAGCTTATTAATATATGACCATTTTACTATCATCTTAACAATGAATCTTGAAAACAACCTAAAAGACCAAATGGCGACTTTCTCTAGTGGAAGCCATAGTCACAATTCGTTTGCTATATTGCTTCATAAAAGCTTTTTGACCAACTTTTTTGGAAGTTTATCATTTGTTCCTTTTGTACTAGTTTTGGTGTATTCTTCACCAGTAGGAGCCTATCTCAATTCGGTGGTTTGAAAATATTGACTCTCAGATGTCAAACAGATGTAATTAAGCACCTTTTGAAACAACTCATGTGACTGTTGCAGATTACATCAATATCAGAGGGCATTTCATTAAAGTGTCCTGTCTCACAAAGATGTCTTCAGCTCGTCTTTGTGGAGCAAGGCACTCATTTAATTGTAGGTTGATATTAGTGTACTCTCCAACAGTCGCAATGTTGGTTTTTTTTTAATGGTTTTTTACTTTCATTGTCCAACAGGGTACTGGTGGTCCACCAAACTAGTTTCTCTTATATCTTCTATTCCAACTGCTCTTCAGTTGGTATACTCATTTAATGATAGGTTCTACTAGTATGGCGGTATTCTCCAACAGTTACAATGTTGGGTTGTTGAAAATGGTACTTGACTCCCAGTGTCAATTAGGGTACTGTAGTCCACCAAACTAGTTTCTCTTCTTAAAGTCATCTGATTCCTCTATTTTCCACCTGCTCTTCAGTTTTTCTTTGTGGAAGAGAACACTCATTTAATGATACAGTACTTGGCATTGGTGTACCTTTTGTAACAACTAATGTGACTGTTGGATATTACACCAATGCCACTGCTACTGTATGCTCCTAACATCTAAAATCACATTATAAAAAACATCACTGTTCTATATGGAATATTAAGGGAGTTATGGTAAATATTACAATTGAATCCCATCTTGGATTTCTGCAACTGCTATTGGCTGAAATTGACTTTTGATGGTGCTACTGTATGCCCCTAACATCTCAAATCACAGAATAAAAAACACCACTGTCCTATATGGAATATTAACAGAGATTATGTTATGGAATTTATAACAAAATATAAAAATTTGGCGGCCATATTGGATTTGAAGGCCTTCCGTTAATTTTTGAGCTTGGCATACAGCAGAATTGAGCCCATTGGTCCGAAGAGTCTTTGGTCCGAAGGCCCGTTGGTCGGAAGTGTCTTTGGTCCGAAGGTCCATTGGTCCAAAGACCCGTTGGTCCGAATTAGTGACCTCTTTTCCAGGAATGCAGGTTATACGGCAGTAAAACAATTCCTTACAATTTTTGGAGTAAATTGAGAAAGATCACTTTTCTAAAACAATATTCCCAAATATTTTCCCTAACAACATGTAAGTCCAAGTTAAAAAAAAAATACTAGTTTCTTGTCACCTCCCGCATCCATTTTCGCTGCCTCATCATTAAAAACATATATATATATATGTTTCCTTTATTTTGCGAAATGTACGAAAATCTGGCTAACTCATCAGTAAAATTCCTTTCTCGAACGTGGATAAGGAGATGTTCCCAGTGAGAATTTCAGTTGAACTATTACCAGTAGTATTATGAATTTAAGCTCAATGTACTATGATACGAATCATGTCTAGTGCTTCTATTATTTGCTTTTAATGAACAGTGGCGGCACTACAGAGGGGCACAGGGGTGGGAACTTTTAATTGACACCTGAGCACGCTCATTTTGCTCTCGTCTCGGAGAACTCCCCCCCCCAAAAAAACATACCCTGCCCTTCATTTCCGCCCCCACCCCACAAGATGCTTTCGCCGCCACTGTCAATGTGTCTACTTTGTAAAAGTGAAAAAGTACTTAACTGTTTCCCATCGGCCATATTTTCCAAACACTGGATTGAAATTACTTGAATTCCCCTATTGTTATTAAAATATTTTATGTCTCCTGCTTAAACATTAGGAAGTTATACTTACGCGGTATAGTATAGTATAGCTGACCTTGCATAGGCAATAAATTACAAAAGCAATGATTATAATCCAATTAAAGAGCAATTACCAGAGAAAGGCCTAATGTCCCAAAAGATGGTTGGAAATCAGGAAAATTGTTAAAGGGTAGAAACACCTCATGATTATTCTTAGTTATTTGTTTTTGTTTTTGTTTTAAATTTTATTTTAATTTATTTCTTTCGAAAGTGTACTTTCTATCACATATTATTGCACTCTCTAGTTAGGCCTGGGCCTAGGCCTAGCCCTTGTCTTATTATGTATGCCTCATCGTCATCCGCTACACAGTACATCAGTAGCGCCCCCCCCCCCGCCATACAGAACAGACGTTTGCTGGGCAACAACGTGATTGTCCTTCCCAGGTGTTCATGTATTGGCATAGTGTTAGCTAACCGGTTGTGTGTATTTCTTTGTGAAAATGAATACCGCGGCGTACTCATTTTCACGAAGTATTTGCATCCCCTCTTGGAAAGAGGGAACTTCGAAATAATTGTGTCCATATCTTCGCTAATTAAATTAATCACCGTAATTTAGCTTACACTTATGAATTTAGCTAGCGCTTAAAATGTACAATAATCATTTCACTACCCGACAAACTCCAAACTTTATTCATTTGGCCTACATAATAGTTTCATCTTGCTGTACTATACACTCCAAAATCACTGGCGCATCGTAACAACCAACTGATGCAGACCATTTCCGGTCACACATTACTCTCCATAACACAGCACCCCCTAGTTCCGTCACCTCTGGATGCACTGTAGTAAAATCACCCCAACTTTGAACAAAAAAAACAAAAACAAAAAACGAAGACACAATATCGAATTATAGTAGTTATCAGCCGGGAAAGGAAAATTCAGTGCAAATGAAAATGATCACGTCCCCCCTGACATACAATGTCCCATAGATAATGACAAGTATGAAAAGTTATAAAAAGTAGCAATATAATGCACTATATAATAATTTGTTTTTGTAATTTTAGATGGCACAAGGAGAACCTCATAGCTGGCAGTTGCGCCTGTCATTCTGGATCGCTGACTACTGGAATAAAGTGGATGTAGCAACCCTGATTTTGTTCACTGTTGGCTTCATAATGCGTTTGATTAATGAATCGTTTGCTGCCTCTCGTATCGTTTTTGCTATTGACCTCATGTTATTTTACATTCGTCTTTTGCAATTCTTTTCTGTCAGCAAAACTCTAGGACCCAAATTGATCATGATTAGCAAAATGGTGAGTTTCACATTTCACCATCATCAAACAATATTAATGTTTTTAAAAATTGTCATTCCAATTATAGATTTGTTATCAACATTAACAACATATTTTTTCCATTCCTTTATTTCAAATCACACTCGCAGTGAAACTCTGAATTTTATTTTATTTCATTTGAATTGAATTTTACATAAGTTCAAAAGTAAACAATTCATTTAAAATGGCATTAAAACAGACAAGAAAAATACAACAACACTTTGAAATTGGAAAAAAATTAATGTTTAAAAAAAATGGTTATGTTAGTAGATTGAGTCAAAGTTTAATTCCCCTGTTTTAAAAAAATCCTGAGATTTTCAATAAAGACTTTCGTATGTTTCGTAAAATTAAAAATAGTTTGGTTTAATTAAGATGTATTACTTAATCTTCATCAGACAGTGTGTTACTTTAAACTCTTTTAAAACCAAGCTAAAGACCTTTCTTTTCCATCAATTTTTTGATGACATTTGATGTCAACATGACATCCTTCATCTGTTTTTTATGTACAGCGCAATGAGAGCTTGCTTACTTGCACTATTATGTAAGAATGAACTATTATTATTATTATTATTATTATTATTATTATTACTAATATTAATACTTTGTGGTTTTATGTGTTCCCTCCTGTAAGTGGCGAACTTTGTTTTTGCTGTTGGTTGGGAAAGATAAATAAACAAATATATAAAAAATAAATAAATTAATTAATAATAATAATAAAAATAACAAATTATTATTATTATTATTTAAAAATATAATAATAATTACAATAATAATAATAATAATACTAATAATAACTATTATTATTATTATTATTATTATTATTACTATTATTATTATTATTATTATTATTATTATTATTATTATTACCTCCGCGCAAGGAGGTTATATTTTCTCCCCTGTTTGTTTGTCAGCCTCCAGGCCACACTTTTTATCAGAAACTTCTCAAACTTAGTCATAATGGTCCATGACTAAGGAGGTAATTACATTTTTGAAGGGTATTGTCAAAGGTCAAGTTCACAACCGACGAAAACTACTGTTTATAACAGCCTACAGCTAACGATTTTTTCAGAAATTTGTAAAACTTAGTCACAATGTTCCATGACCAACAATCTGAAGATGATTAAATTTTAATAATAATAATATTAATATCACGAATTTATATGGCGCCAATTCCAAACAAGATCAAAGGCACAACGCATGTGAAAAGCCACCGGAAAACAAATAGGTCTTAAGCTGTGACTTAAAGTTGCTAATAGAGTTGGAAGAAGTTATGTAATTTGGAAGTTGGTTCCAGAAATAGGCAGAAGCAAAAGTAAAAGAACATTGACCATAGGTTTTGGTGCGGCATTTTTAAGGGACAGAAAGAAGGAGCTCTGAGAGGATGATCAGAGACGGCGAGATGGAGTATATCGGGAAATCATTGAACGTAAATATGAAGGTTCATTCAGATGGAGAGCTTTAAAGGTCAGAACAAGTCATTTAAATGCAACACGTTGCCTGATTAGCAGCCAATGAAGTTCACGCAGTAAAGGAGTGACATGATCATACTTCCGAGCACCGGTAAATTTACGGGCAGCAGTGTTTTGAATGCGTTGGAAACGCTTGAGCAATGCCTGGGGAACGCCAGCTAATAGAGAATTGCAAAAGTCTATCCGAGTTTATATCAGTGAATAAATTAGTATTTCAGCCAATTTGGTGTTAAGAAACTTCCTTATTTTTCCAATGTTACGAACGTATCAGCTACAGCCGACAATTTTAATACAAATTCCGTAAACCTTGGTCACAATACTTATTGACTGAAAATCTAAAGAATTTTGAAAGGTCATGGAAACAGGTAAAGGTCACAACTACTTTTATTTATAACAGCTTACAGCTATTTTTTTTTATCAGAAACTCGTCAAACTTAGTCACAATTATACATGACAAATATCTGGAGGTTATTAAATTTTTAAAGGTCAAGGTTACAGGTCATGGTCACAATCGGCGAATATATATATATATATATATATATATATATATATATAATATAGTATAAATCATCAAAGGTACATATACGGTGTTTAATGAGGACATGATGGAACATCGTAGGCTACCCTATAGCTTTTCAAAGAAAAATTCCTATAAAAAATCATTGTGTAATAAAATGCCTCCGACGGGATTCGAACCTGCGACCTCTCGCTGACAAGGCGAGCGTCATAACCACTAGACCACGAAGGCTTCGTGGTTGAACAGGTCCAAATACCCGTCGGGAACATTGTATTACAC